ACCAAAGTTAGAGCATAATATTTGGGGTACCATGATTGATTTGGTCGAGTGCAAGGAAGTGTTCAACGAGTTTCTTAGAAACTTTAAGAAGGAAGACAGAAAAATTAAAGATGGATTACCTGTATTGGATCGAGACAGAGAAATATTTTATGAGAGATATTTGAATAAGGTATCATAGACGCGTTTTCATTCATATTAAACATCAAATATTTCCTAAAATTTTAATTCAAATCAGATTTATGAAAACGAAGAAGTCCGAGTGAATCTCGATGTGCAAAATTTACTTGCATATCAGAAAACTGTAAAACTGTACCATCAGTTATTAAAATATCCTCATGAAATAATCCCTTTGATGGATAATGCAATATTGGAATATTATAAAGAACTCCATGGACCTAATACGGCCACGCAGGAATTAAGGGTATACTAATTTTTGATTATGATTATATTAACAAGCTTTATATGAAGTCTATTTGATACAATTATATCTCTTCCTCATAGATAAGACCTTTCAATTTGTGTAATTCGGTTAATATGCGTGATTTAAATCCTTCTGGTAAAAATATAAAAGTAAAATCATTTTCGAAAAGCAAATAATTGATAATAAACAATTTGATTCGTAGATATCGATCAGCTCGTATCTATCAAAGGGCTGTTAATAAGAGCATCACCACTTATTCCGGACATGAAAATTGGTAATTAGAAACTAATGGATTTTTCGATAATATGTGTAAAATTTACGTTGTTTCTATTATTGAATTTTATGGAATTTACCTATTTTCCAAAAGGATTCTTTCGTTGCTCTGTTTGTGGGAATCCAGTGGAACGTGTGGTTGAACGTGGTAAAATAGATGAACCAGATCGATGCCCCCGCCCGCAATGTAATTCAAAAAATGTAATGGATCTCATTCACAATCGATGCACATTTAGTGATAGACAAGTTTGCCGTCTACAAGAAACGCCTGGTACTTTTCATATATTTTCTTATTGCATATTGATCCATTTTCAAATGTTTCTAATTTGATGTTTTCACAGATTCTATCCCCGATGGTCAAACACCTCACTCTGTCACATTATATTTGTTTGATGACTTAGTGGATGTTGCACGCCCCGGTGACAGGTGGAATTTCTATACAAGATTCAGATTTAAAATGCCAATTAACATATTAAAATATGAAATTCTTGCATCAGGCTTGAAATTACGGGTATCTTTCGGTCTGTTCCGATTCGTGTAAACACACGACAACGTACCATGAAATCTTTATTCAAAACATTCATTGACGTTTTACACGTGCGTAAAACGGATAATAAGCGCTTGGCTGTTGATAGCATTGTCAATGAAACTAGTGAAAAAGAAAATAACAAAGGCAAAAATAAAGAGGATGACGAAATTTTTTATGCTTCGAATAAATTACCAAAGTAAGCAAACCTTTTTGTAAGAAGAATAATAAATGGAATATATTTAAATATTTTTCAAGTTGTAAATGGACTTTATATCCTTAGATATGACGAATTAGATGAAATTCCCGATCATTCTGAAGGTGAAAGGATTGAGCGTTATGTTGAGATATCGCAATTGCCAAATTTATATGAGATATTGTCTAACTCATTAGGTACAGTCAATTATACTAGTGTTTAAGAAATTTGTAGGTCTAAGTTGAGAAATAAAGTTTATTGCATTTTTAGCCCCAAGTATTTACGAATTAGATGATGTAAAGAAAGGAATCCTTTTGCAACTATTTGGA